GCATGGCATCTTCATGTGAACACACCAGCCACAAAATAACCCATAAGCCAGGAAGTCATGCATGGAATAATGGTACCAAATATGCATTCGAAGTTTGTCTTTGTGAATCGGTCAGTATGTCACTACCCCTTCGTCCCATGCACGGACCAAATCGTCTATCAAAGACTCCATGTACACACTCATATTAGCCCCGGGTGTCCTGGAATTATAAGTGACAAGAAAATATTTTGCCGTTGAAAAGCGGCGCCCAGTGGGAGGTTGAGAGGGATGACGAATACGGGCCAACATGTGTATGGTGAAGAACCCATTCCATAAGATTGAACCCATCGAGTTGCCGATTGCAATGCGTACATTACGAGCCTCATCAGCTTTGTCGGTATGCTTCCGATCGAAGCTTTTCCATGATTCACCATCGGACGGATGTATCATCTTGTGTCGATGTATCGGCGTCGATTTTGTGCCACGTCATCTGTTTTTGCGGATTCCTCGCTCATGAAAAACCGTTGGATCCTCGGTATGAAAGGAAGGTACCTCGGGATCTTTGCGCCGACTTTTGTTTGCGTCTTCCGACCATCACCGATTCTAACTCAATGTACCTAGATGCCTTACACTTGGACAGTACTTATCATGAGCATGTTCTCCCCGAATAAGATGCATCCGTTCGGACAAGTATGTATCTTTCATACGACATCTTGAGTGCACGAAGGAGGATTTTATTTGACTCATACGTGTTCTTTGGCGAACGTGATCATCCGGAAGTAGGGTGCCAACTCATCATCCTTGATTGATCGAAGGATTCTCTACTCCGGCTAAACGGGACTTCACGGCCATTAGGCGTGCAATGGCATCCGGTTTAGAAACATTGGTGCGCCCGTGAAGGGGTTGTTGTGCCGCATCCAACATGGCGAAAAACGCCTTTGCGTTTGCTCGGCTCTGCTGCTACGCACTTCCTTCATCGAAAGCCATGTCATGGTCATTTAACATTTCTGCCACCCCGGCTTCAGAATCAAACTCCTCGATCCGTTGTCTCACGACCTCTTCTCTCGCACGATGGCGTTCACCATGCATGGTCCACCGGGTATAGTTCTCTACAAATCCATTGTTGACAAGATCTTTAGTCATCTCCTCATATGTTTTCATTGCCTTGTTCTTACACTTCCTACAGGGACACCAGGCATGTCGCTGTCCGTTTGCAAATGCCTTCGTCATGAAATCATTGGCCTTCTCAATCCATTCATTTGTGTATTGACCCCTCTTCTGATAGCCCGTGTACATTCACTGACGGTCATCCATCCTAACATATAGACGATATTGCAGTTTAGAGCAATAAAACTGGAAATAAGATCAATTCCTCCAGTAAAAATAAGAATACAACATCAACAGAGGATGTGGATTCCTGCAATACAGTCTAACAAAGACAGGCAAACAGTTAAATCTTTTCTCTTTCTCTAGTGCCCCGTCTCGATTGCGATAATAATGCAGATAATAAAGCAGCAACACTAGTAGCTAATCGACACACCACACCAGCACCTACCTACTTTCGCTAGGTGGTTTAGTAGTAGCAGTAGTATACAAATTTATTTACAAAGCTCCGTGCACGCTGGAACGTGATGGCACAGTACAGTAGCGTGTGTGTGTGTTTCGTTTAAGTTTCGGCCTCAAACGAACAAGCTGTTTAGCTCTAACTATATATACATATATATATAGTTGTCAAACTTGTCAAGGTTTCAAGTTAGAAGAAAAAATGGCAGTAGATAAGGGCAGCCTTTTCTTGTTGCGAATTGTGCTCATCGTATCCTTAATTTGACTGCTCTGTACAAGCCGTAAGTACTACTGCTATACTACTAGTAGTGCTTGCAAGCTTCAGTTCAGCGCTTAGGTACACGACAAGAAGCTGGAGAGAAAAAAAAGGACAAAGAAAAGTTTCTCGATGGGAGATTCTTCTCCCTGCCTTCATCTTCTTACGGAAGGAGCTTATCCATCCAACAGGTAGTAAAAGAAGCCTATCAAAGTACTGTGACGCGCCACTGTCAGTTACTACCAACATTTAGCTTTTCATTAACAGCGTACTTCTACTAAAGCCCTTATCAGAATCACACACAGTCAAAAGTGCTGCAACTTGCAAACTGGCAGTGTCAAGAAACGTTCGGGGCAATCTGTGGATGGGATTAAACAAGCTCCCATTTGCAGTAGTCAAGTCGCCAATCTCCAGGTGCACGGGAAGTCAGGCATGCAGCTGGAACACGAACACCCACGCCGTTTTAGGCACAGGCTGTTTTATCTTTGCTACTACGCGGGTTAATTGAGCTTAGGCTCTTACAGATAAATAACAATCAACTCCATAAGCAAGTTAATATCTTCAGGGCATAACATATCTTGTTATCAGATGAAAAAATTAGAATATTATTGGGGACCACCTAATTGTCACCCATTGTCGTTAAGAAAAGAAAAAATGGTGCCCTCATTTCATTCTTCCATCAATTTGCGTCCTCATTCACCTGGCGCTGAGCCTTATCTAACATTACTTTATTACATGGCAATGCAAGTAAACTTTTCTCCCATCCTTCTATTTCATACTAAAAACTCCAGTTGAAAGGGGATACCATAATTCACTAGGTTATGGTTTGAAAGACTAGGCCCAAGGCGAAGCATAGGGAAGATAGAAATGTTAGTTTGGTGTGCTGAAAGTCACGAGCACGCAAGCAATCCCCAAAGGTCCGTGGACGCCTTGGCGCTCAAGACGAGCAGCAGAAGCGGCGCTGCAGCAGTGTAACGGGGCCGTCCCCGCACGGATCCATCCATTTCCATTCCATCGCATCACGGCGCCACCAGACGGAGGAGGAGAGGTGGGCAAGCAGGCAGGTACTGGCGTCCGACGGGAGCAGGCGGGGTCCCTTGTCGCCACCGGTGCGGCGGGAGAACGATCGGAAGGGAGGCATGGTCGAGGAGGGGAGAGAGTGCTCGCCGTCGCTGCTGCTGCTGGGCCCACCCCACCCCACCTCATGAGGAACAGGAGCGAAGGAGGAGGAGCACGGGCGGCGTCGGCGGAGGGATCGTCGTCCGTGCGCCGGTGCCGCTATCTCTCTCTCCGTCTCTCCGGTGGCGGGCGGGGTGGGGACCGCCCGGTGGCGGTGGTGGTGGAGGGAGGAGGCGGCCTGCGGTGGGGAGGCATGTGTGGTGTGTGTGTGTGTGCATGAATGATTTGAGGGAAACGGCTTGTTGAATGCTTACATTTGCGAGTGCCTAGATGTACGGCACTCGGTAAACTCAACACCGCAGACCCAATGACATGTGGGCTGGTACATGAGTACCGAGTGCCCAGATCTACGGCACTCGGTAAACATAAGCATGGCAGCCCACTGTGGCAGACAGGTGGGCCGTGGCTAACCTTTACCGAGTGTTTGAGGTCACACTCGGTAAAAGTATCCATTATTTCATGCAAAACAAAAAAGAAAAAATGCCAATTTAATACTAAAATTCACCAAACTTTCACATGAACTATTTCATGTCATCTATTTACTATCTAATAAATTCCAAGTTCAAATCATAATGTTGAATTTCACTCTTAATAGAAATCCTACTCGTCATTGTGAATGTTTAGCGTCTCTTTGGGAGATGTACCGGTTCGGCAACGACGAATGTAAAAATACTTCCAAAACGTTATGAAATTTTTTCTATAACATAGATGTATGCTTCAATGTTAATTCTTCCAATCTTGTGATTTATCGAGTTCGATTTTAATTATTACAATTAAATTCACACGATATGTTCCTAATTTTCATAAAGAATGAAAATTTTGTGAAATATAGTAAATAAATCGAAATAAACACTATATTTTGGAATGGAGTACTAAATATCATATGTGGATAGAGGAAAAAGAATGAAGGGAAAAACAAGAAATTTGGTTGAATTTTACCGAGTGTTGGGCCAATACACTCGGTAAAAGATAGTGTTTACCGAGTGTATTGGCCCAACACTCGGTAAAATTTTCATGTTTGCCGAGTGTATGATCATAACACTTGGTAAACATGTCATGCCTTGACGCCGTCTAGGCACGGTTGCTGTCCTAGGTGACGTGGCACGTTAATACCGAGTGACCGTTTTTACCGAGTGCACCCCGTCGGTAAACTTGTAGTTTTACCGAGTGTCTTAATATACCGAGTGTGCTGACTCGGTAAAGCGGTTGACTACCGGGTGTTTATGTTTTCCGAGTGTTGGCACTCGGTAAGTACTTTTTTCCGAGTGCCCCGACTTTTGACACTCGGTAATTGTCGGGGCACTCGGTAACTACACAGTCTCCGGTAGTGCGGCTCGCCAAAAAATTTTAAAGTACCTATAGCCGCGTGCTCCTCACAAGACCACAAACTCCTCTCATCTCGCAGATTGAAAGTATTATAGCTTCGCGCTGCTCGGAACCCTAATCTATTCATCTCTTTTCCTCGCACTCCTCAGCTCATCCCGCCGCCTCGTCCTCAGGCCTTCACCTGTTCCCACAGATCTAGAAGGAAGATGCCAGCAACTCATTCCTCTATCGTTCCAATCCTCCCACCCTTGACACAGCGTGCCACTGCCCCCAACTTCGTCTAAACGATCCACGCCGGCAGCCGGCATCCGAAGAATCGGAGAAGGGACGTGCAGATCCGTACAAGTCACATGCAGATCCGGCCACACGCGGAGCGCCAGGGGCTGGTGCTGCACGTCATCGAGGCCCGCGGCCTCCGGGAGCGGACAAATCGGCGGTGAGCTCTCCCCTCCTCCTTGTCCCGCGCCCTCAGGTACACCGCACGCACCATCGTCCACCGCCTGGCGCCCACCACACGTTGCCTACTTCGATACAGTTGTCTCTGCCACCAAGGGGGCTCGACGTGGCCTGGATCCGGCGTGCCGCGGCCGGGGTCTGTAGACCGCGGTGGTTGTGTGAACTGGGCCAGAGCATCTCGGCCTCCGTCTCCGATCGAGATGGGGAGGCACGGGTGGGCGGCTCCGTGTTTGCGGTGCGGATGCGGCGGCTAGCCAGCGGAGGGAAGTGGCGCTGGCTGCCTGGCTCGGGCCTGGGCGGAGCGGATGCAGCGAGCCGGCGATGCAAGCTCAGGCCGGGGAGGCGCGGATGCAGCAGCAATTTCTCCGGCCAGGGAGGAGCAGATGTGGTGGCGGGGTACCTCCGATTCCTCGTCGACAGCAAAGCACATCTTCCAGATGCTCGAAGCCATCGTAGACGTGAGTGATCGCTCTCCGCTTTTTTAATTTCTTTTCTATTATTGTCTTGATTGGTGGAAAAAGGTGCGGCCCTTATGTGATGCTAGTAAGTGCATGGCGGTGTTTCGTGTGCCTCTATTGAATCGGTGAAATTTGATTGGTTCGCAGCAAGGAAAAATAGGCCTTCTCTACTCTTGTACTGATTTTGCATCTCATAAATCCCTAGACATTAGCAATGTCGATTCAGTGTCATATGATCATACCATATTGTATTACTGTTTTTGGTCTAAATGAAGAAACTCAAACTTGACAGTTCAAAACCATTGGTTCTTCTGAACTGTACTGCACTCCATTCTGAGCTGTGGTTCCACTGTTTATGTAGTTTTTTTAAAAAAAAAAAATTTAGCAGTAGTAGTACTGCACTTCTGCTATCTCATTAGAGTAGAGTGCCAAGTAACAGATTGTAGTGACTGAAAATACAAATAGAGATCGTTGGCACTTGCTGAAAATACAAACTCTGACAAATGCTAATGACAGAAAATACAAGAAGCTAACATATGCTAGTGACCAAAAAATTCAAGAAGCTAACAGATTCTAGTGACTGAAAATACTGATCGATAGCACTTGAAAATAGTAAAATACAAAGAAGCTAACTGATGCTAGTGATGGAAAATACAAGAAGCTAACAGATGCTTGTGACCGAAAATTCATGTGTGATTAGAAGTGTTGTGCAGGTAAGAGATGTGATTAGAAGAGATGTCCTTGGGTCTAGAGTAGTAGAGTTTAAATTGTAGGTCATAGGGGATTGACAACTTCGGTGAACTTTACTGTAAAATGGTATTTGTAACTGCATATGAAAGGAATATGTAAACAATATGGGTCAAATTAAATTTGTGCCTTTGTACTGTCCCTCTACTGAACAACATACGGCTGTATATACTAAAACAAGGTTTATCTACATTGTACTGCACTGTTCCAATGGGAACTTTTTACTGAGTTCCATGTCCTCTTTGTTCAAATACATTCCATGTTTAGCATCATGTCTTAAGATCGGGTGTTGGGAGAAGAGAAAGCTGGACAAGTGCACGGCATGGGATTGCTTCCAGTTCCTAAACAAGTTTATGGTCGAAGAACACACCATTTTAAGGACATTAATATAGTTTCACTAGATGGCTCATCATCTGATGTAGAGACTCACATGTTGGAGAAAATAAGGCAACTCAAAGAGCATTCTAGAATGCAAGACAAAGTTATTGAAGAACTAAAAAACAATCAAAGGCACCATGAGAACCAAGAAGCAACAATGGTAACAATGTACATTTTAATTTGTAACTTCGTATTGAAATGTGTTACTCAAACTTTATTTCTTTTCCAGGGAAATTATGCTAGGAGGGATCATAACAATTTTTAGAATCAAGAGGTGCTTTCTAAAAGAAAGGTATTTGCTCTATTTTCCATGTTTTCACCTAATTTATTCTTTTGGCTTTAATATTGTTTCAAATTTTTAGAGAGTTCATTGTGTTGCACCCAACCAGAATGATAGATTCCTTGAACACAAGGATGAATTGGTAAAGTCACTTTCTTGTGAATTTAATACTATTTTATTCACAATGGATTTTTTTATATTAACTCATGCTACTGTCTTTTTTCTCTTTACTAGAATAAAGAAACATGTGACTCTGAATATAGTGATGATGACAGTCTACTTTTATCCACCACAAGTAAAACAACAAAGAAACAAAAGGTATCTATGAACCACACTTTGCTGTATTTATAGAGGAATTTTTGTCTTAATGTTTCATACTTCATTTTATATGTGTAAGGGTCATCATGGAGGGCTTGGAGAGACTACGACCATTGCACATTAGGAGGTGGCTCATGACAAGGTTACATGCAACAAGCGTCAAGCACCTAAACAACTAAGGGTTGTTGGTCACTAAGAGATTATGTCAAATTAATGTAGGTTGGGTCCATGGTGCTACTAATGACTTCAAAATATCCTAATAAGGCTAATGTGGCCTATGCAACTCTCTTGAGCACTGATCTAGAAGCCATTGTTGGTGGAGTTAAGACAGGAAGTCAATTCTACAAAGTGCGTATCGATCATGCTATAGCAAAAGATGAGCCATTAGTGAGGCTTAGGCTTGGGTGCAACAATATTGGTGATGCTCAAGCCAAAGGAGTCTCAATTGCTTGGCCTTCGATGTTTGTATGTTCAAACTAGCTTTCTTAACTTACATCATTGTACATATGTGTCCTAATTTGTAATCTTACAACTTACATTTTCTTTGTAGGTTCAAATGATTAATGGTTGAATTCCTACATCGATGTGTACAAAGAATAATGGAAGAAGAAGCAATGGACTTTATGAATCCTAGCTAGTTCTTGAATTTTTCTTTCTAGTATGGACTATGTGTGTTTGCTCTCTAGAGCCATATCATTATGTACAAATACTATGATTTAATCTGAACAAGCACTATGTTTGAAATCATCCTACTATATTGGATCTTGTTATGATTATTGAAATTTGTGGTTTATGTGATTTTGCAATGTGTCATATTTGTGTGATTCTATAATAATCCGTGTGCCACAAATATACGCGAAACAAATATTTGTTTTCTAATCTGAATATGTTACAATAGATATAAACAAGTGTTACAAACCATGTGTTGCTTTGTTCCATACTATACTCTACCATACTGTAGAAGTGTTACTATAACTAAAAAACAGTGTTACAACAGACAATCACTATAACACTAGACAAATGTTCCCATAGATAAATGAATATGTTACAAACTATGTATTCCACCATAATGTGAAGTGTTACTAGAGAAATAAAAAGTGTTACAGCAAAAATTATTGTAACACTAGACAAATGTTCCTATAGACAAGTAGATGTGTTATAATAAACCAGTCTATAGTAACATGGCCAATTGGAACACAAAAAAATGTGTTACTAAAAGAGCTAGTAACACTTTTTCCAACCTATTGTAACACAAGTTGGTGTTACTATATCCCTGTGCTATAGTAGTGCTAGCTTATCCATCACTGCCAGTTCTTGTCACAAACTGGCAGTGCTCGTTATGACAACGCTGCCAGTTAAAACACAAACCGACGGTGTTGGTGGAACTGAATTCTGCCGGGTGGTCTAATGAACCGGCAGTGTTGGTGGACTTGAAATCTGCCGGTTGTGTAAAGAACCGGCAGTGAAGTTGAAGAACACTGCCGGTTTGTAGGAACCGACAGTGATAGCTAACCCTCATCACTGCCGGTATGGTTGTGCCGGTTCAAAACACTATGGGATACAGTAGCTTTGCCGAGTGCCAGGGGCACTCGGCAAAGGCCCAAAAACACTCGGCAACTGCTTTGCCGAGTGTAACACTCGGCATACAACACACGGCATCAACAGTGTCGGCAAACAGTAGTTTGCTGAGTGTTTTTTATCGTGCACTCGACAAAAAGAAACTCTCGGCAAAATAATGTTAACGGGATGGCATGGTGACGGTGATTTTGCCGAGTGCACGACGGAAAAACACTCGGCAAAGTTTCTCATGTTTGCCGAGTGTCAAGCCCAAAACACTCGGTAAAGCTTCTAAACTTTGCCGATTGTCAATTCTAAAACACTCGGTAACGTTTCTAAAGTTTGCCGAGTGTCAAGACCAAAACACTCGGTAACGTTTCTAAAGTTTGCTGAGTGTCAAGACCAAAGCACTCGGCAAAGTTTACACACTTTGCCGAGTGTCACGCCCAATACACTAGGCAAACAAGCGCGCAACGGGCAGATTTTATGGTCACTTTGCCGAGTGTCCATTAGAATACACTCGGCAAAGACAAAACACTCGGCAAAAAAGGTTCTCAGAATAACATAAATTGGTCTCTTCGCCGAGTGTTTTGGCTTGACACTCGGTAACGCCTCGCTTTGTCGAGTGTTACACTCAGCAAAACGACCAATACCCCCTTTTTTACTAATCTGTCCCGTATAACAGACCCCTCTCAATTCACAATAAACCATCATAATTCACAATAAAGCATCATCATAGGCATAATTATATGTCACAGACATAATTGTATGTCACAGGCATAATAAACCATCATCACAATTCACAATAAACCATCATCACAATTCACAATAAACCATCATCACAAGTCACAACTAAGTCACAATAAGCCACAAATGCAAATGCAAATGCAATCACTGCGGAGGCCCTCGGAACTACTGCGACAAATCCGGGTCTTGAGACTGATTATTTGATGCCGCCGATTGATTCTGCACAAAAGAGAAGAGATTGCATGTGTAAGTTGCAGATATAAAAAACTCACTGCAATCAGAAAGTATAAGTAGTGTTTTGAAAAAATACTTGCACGTAAGTATATATAGTACTAATAAAAAACTCACTGCAATCCGACCCATGCATGTTCAGTTAGTATATCTTACCTATTAGTATTAGTTTAAGCCATGCAGTGGGGGGCTTAGAGTTAGAAGCTGGAGCTGGCAGCGCCATGCCAATGGGAGTGCAGGCCATGCGCAGTAGCAGCGAGTAGGCCATTGAAGTCTGTGTTATTACTATTATAAAATTCTGGGCTTGTGGCAGGCTACAGAAACTAACAGTCAGCTCATAACATTTTTTTTAATGAAAGTCTACTCCTAACATTTGTACAGAGGTATCACAGCTTACTGATGATGGATGTGGCCAGGTGCATATCTGAGGCAAGCAGTCTGAAACTGCAACAGAGATTACATTTGGATTTAAGATGGCAAATTGTTGATTGATGCACAGAACTCATCTATCATCTGAATTTCTGAAACCAGTCAAATAATACTGCATTGCCTATGTACTCTAAAGTTCTCTAAGTCATCTCGTGGAAAAGAGATGGCTTTCACACTTAAAAATGATAGCATTCACTCAAGCACTACATAGCAATTTCATATTACAAACTGATCGGCATTCCTGGAGAAAAGAAAAGGTAATTCAGGTTGAGCTCTCACTAGATGCAGCTCAAACTGAAATTGTAATGAAAGGAGCAACAAAGAGAAGTAATTCAGGAAACAGCACACTAAAAAAGAGTGGCAAAAGCTGCCTACCAGAAGAGTACAGCTGCACCTTGGCCGTAGAACATTCAGAAGTGAATATTTTAATAGCTCAGACTCAGTGGCATGAAAGAAATTGGGAAGAACTGAACAACAGTACTGCACTAGATCCAGAACTACCCACAAGAGTACTGCACTAGGATCTTGTACGGACGAAAATTCCAATACTAAACAAGATTTCAGAAGCACCAACAGGAGTACTCCACTAGGATCTGGAACCCAAACACTGAATCTAGTGCAGACGAGCTAATCAGCGGCGCAGGCCACGTACTCGGCAGCAGCGAAGGCGACAAACTCGGCAGCGGCGCAAGCGATGACGCTGCATTGTAGTTGCACTAGCCACCACCGCGCCCTTTTCCCTTTTCCACGAGATGCTTCTCTTAACCTTGCATATTCTCTGGCTCTATCTCAATGGTTGCCTATGTACTCTAAAGTTCTTAAAGTCATTTTGAGCTAACATCTAATGTTCTCTAAGTCAAAGTATTCAATCTGCAGTATAAGGTGTCAAGTGACTCCACTACTAAAGAATAGACTTTAGAACGATGTCCCAATTTGGCATTAGCCTCGGCATTTTTTTCCCCCGGGACTAAAGGTTCCTGCCCAACGGTCGTCCGCGAGGCAGGGATCTTTAGTCCCGGCTGGTATTACCAACCCCCGGTTGGTAATATCAGCCGGTACTAAAGCTTTTAGTCCTGGTTTGGGTGATGCCCCGGGAATAAAGATTAATCTTTAGTCCCGGTTTGGCCCCCTAACCGAAACTAATTATCCCGGCCTATAGACCAGCTCGTTTCTTCCTCCCCGAGCCTGAGTCATTCATTTCAAACTCACTGCCTCTGTTCTTCAGCTTGCTGTTGTTCTTGCTCTCTCCCCCTCCATTGGTGTTGCTCTTCGATTTTGGAGGTAACAAACTTAATCCTCTTATGTTTTATCAGTAGCTTATCTCATTTTGCGATGTAGATGCATGTGTAACTTTATATGTTGGACTTTATTATGATTTTATGTCATTTTTAGCTCAAAATCACATGATGATTTGCATATATGTTTGGATAAACAAAAGTTAAATTAGTTATTAAAATCACTTGATAGTTTAGTATTGCTAGTATATGTAGTACATTTCATGGTTTAGTTAGATAAATAAATATTTTTATTTTTTTAATATATTACTTTAGAAATGAGAAATTTACAATAGTTTGCAAAAATAAGTATAGAAAGTAACTTGATATGGTGGATTTGATTATGATTTCTATGTCATTTTTAGCCCAAAATCACATGATGATTTACAATAGTAAAATCACTTAATAGTTTGGTATTTTACTATTATACATAGTACATATTTCATGGTTTAGTTAGATAAATAAATAATTTTAGTTTTGTTTAAATATATTATTTTAGAAAATGTGAAATTTACACTAGTTTGCAAAAATAAGTATAGAAAGTAGATGACAACTGATACAGGATCCTCGGCCTCTCGTTCGGTTACGCTTGAGGTAGCGGCTGCTGATGATGAGGTAGTGAGCCAGTAGAAGAAGCTTATTGATATTCAACAGACGAATGATTTGTCTGTTTTAGTTGTGTACGGTCACGAAATAATTATGTTACTGAAGTGCATTGTAGTTTTAGTTTGTTTAGTGATAGTTGGGATTGCTTACGTTGTAGCCAGGCTTAGTTAATTAATCAACCGTGTGTGTGTCATCTATGTTGTGTAATAAAATACTTAATTATGTTCAAGGTTTTCATAATTTGTCGTGTAATGTAGATTATGTCACGCCATTGGATATACAATGCCGATCGCCGCTCCCAAGACTTTATTGAGGGCGTGCACTATTTCTTAGGTATGGCCGAGACAAATAAGCGGGATGGTTTCATGTGCTGTCCATGTGCCCTATGTAAGAATTTAAAGAAATATTCAAGCTCAATGAGTCTTCATTCACATTTGCTTAAGTCAGGTTTCATGTCAAACTATATATGTGGGACTAAGCATGGAGAAAGCGGGGTCATGATGAAAGAAGGTGAAGGAGAAGATTTAGACATTGATGACATTATTGCTCAGTATGGTGCCTTTGATGATACTACAATGAGGGGGAGATGAAGAAGAGGTAGCGGCAGAAGATGATCTCGGTGATGCTCTTGGCTTTGCCATTCGTGATGCACTACAAGAATGCGAAAGTGAAAAAGAGAAAGTTAAGTTCGAGCGCATGCTTGAGGATCATAAGAAGTTGCTACACC